GAGTAAGACTGAACCAAGAGCCAAGAGTCCACACTGTCGTGGCGCGCTGTCGGTTCCACGCAGAATGGCCCCCAAGGACGGGGCAGAGCTGTCCCAAGGGGTTCCTGGACTGTAATCTTTACAGAAACAGATCACCAATCTTTCACCCAGCGTTCCCAGGGGTTCACCCAAAAGCTTAACCACCATCCCACCAGGCTCTTCCACACACGAGGCGGCTTCCAGTGTGTATAGAAACAATAGAATGAAAAGATCATGGAATTTTCCCACACACTTTTTTAAGCTCCTTGTATACCTTTTTTTTTTTAATTTTTTTTTTTTGTATACCATTTTATACTTCAAATTTTTTTTTAGAAAAACAAGATGTGAACTAAAGACTCACGGGGACAACATTGTTAAACCTACAAAATGTGTCCTGACTCATGTAAAGGGGGGAGGCCAATAAACGATGGTGCATCCGATGACTGGAGGGCGAGGGCACGGAGTGAAGTCTGCTCTGCGGAGCCTTTTCACAGCACAGAGATGCGCAGCCACGAGATACGATGCTGTGCGTACAATATGCCCACACGAGCGACCAAGCTCACAGACCAAAAAGGAAGTCACTGCTTGGCAGACACTGTGGAGAAAAGGACGTCCATCCAGCTCATGAGCCCTCTGGGGAGGGGTGACCAGGAGGGCCTGCCTGCGATGGGCTTGAGCGGCTTTGGTCCTATTTGTCACATGATCATGATAAAGGTGACCTCCCAGGGTACCAGTCACATACAAATGTGACATTCTTGACCATTTTCTGTTTAATTTTGTTTTTTTATGGAGAAAAAAAAAAGGTCTGAAAGAATGATGTCAAAATGTTCATTCATGGTGCTTGCTTAGCCATCTTGGGGCCGGCTCTTTCCTTGTTAATTTGCTGCCATACTAATCAGTTACAAACTTCGGGAGTCCTGCAGCCTAAAGGGTTACACGTCGGCTTCCACGGGGCATGAGAGGGCGGTCCACTCCCGTAGAGTGACAGTCTTGAACACTACCCGGCCCTCCAGGGTCCCTAGGAGCTGTCACCCACTCCACAGCAATGAGTTTGGTTTAGCAGGGTCACGATACACTTTAAAAAAAGGAAGGCCCTCACCCCAGAACTCAAAGGGGAACTACGTAACTAAAAGCTTTCCCCAAGAGCTGGCTAAGAGACTCCCGGCAGATGGAAGCCACAGCCTAGGATGTGACAGAGGCAGCCTCAGAGCCTACCTAGGCCTCCGACATCTTAAGTCGGAGCTAGCTCTGGACGGGAGCTGCAGCAGTGAATGCGCAGGCCATCACCCAGCTGGAGGACAACAACACGGACACGCACGCTCACCAGCAACAGTCAGTCTGGAGGGCCACATCAAGAAAAGCCTGGAAATGCTCTACAAAAATCAGCAAGTTAACCGCTCAGTAAGCAACTACTGTCCCCAACCTAGTGGGCACTGGACTGTAGCACAGTGGCCAGGTGCGAACCCAGAGCAATAAACAAAACGCCACCCGCTGCTAGCGTCTCCAGTG